CCGACACGGCGGCTGGAGGTGGAGGGGTGGTGGCTAAGGACGACCAGCAAGTGGACATTTACAAACGACCTGTCCGTGTTTAAAAAGCCAAAATCCTGGGGTCAGAGGGTGGCACGGTGGTTGTGGTGCTGGACACTCCCACATGGTCAACTACAGTTCAAGTCCTGGACATGGTGGCTTGCTTTCTCACTTTCCCTCTCTCTCTCTGAGTATCTCTCTGGTCAAATTAAAATAACTGAATGAATAAATAAAAATAAATAAAATAAAATAAATAATTCTTAAAAAAAGAAAAAGAAAGCTGAAAGTCCTTTTGGACGAGGCTCTGGACGCAGCCCCGTGCAAGCCCAGCATGGATCAGAAGCGCCGTTCTACCCCAGCCCCAGGAGCGGCGAAAGGTCTGGGCCCACAGAAGGGCAGGCTGGGGGCTGCCAGTCGGTCATGGGCTACAGCTGGGTGCCGCAGGCCCAAGGATGGTACATGTCGCCTGGAAGCTGTATTCTAGCACCTTCCTAAGAGAGCCTCGGGGGCTCTTACTGTCCCTGTCACACCCACAGACAGCAATACTGTTCCTTACACAGCAGGAAGAAATGTGCATGCAGCCTCCGTCTGGATCAAACCCATTCTCCCCTGCCGAGGCGCTGACATGGGCTACCAGTGGGGGCCCCTCAGAGAACGAGAGGGTAGTGTTGTTGTTTTTTGTTTTGTTTGTTTTGTTTTTTAGGTTGGGGACTGGCCTTGGACACTCTGTAGCTTTTCTTTTCCCTCCCTCCCTTCCTTCCTTCCTTATTCCTTCCTTCCTTCCTTCTTTCCTTCCTTCCTCCCTCCCTCCCTTTCTCTCTCTCTCTCTTTCCTTCCTTCCTTCCTTCTTTCCTTCCTTCCTTCCTTCCTCCCTCCCTCCCTCCCTTTCTCTCTCTCTTTCTTTCTTTCTCTTTTCTTCCTTTTTTCCTTTCCTTTCTTTCCTGGCTTTTCTTAAGGCATAGGCTCTGCAGTAAGGCAGCCTGCCTGGCCTACTCCAGACCCACCTGGCCTAGGGCCACTCTGGAAAGTGAAGGACGGGCCGAGGGCAGCCGAGTCGGCTCTCCACCAGTGCCACTCTCCTGGCAAGAGCCTTAACCTAAAGGGCAGCGTCCGACAGGGGCTAACTTTGCCCCTAATAGATACTGGAGACATTTATGGGTGTCACAGTTAAGGGGGACGCTGCTGGCATCTAGTGGGGAGAGGCTGGAACTGCTGCTAACCCTCCTACAGAGTACAGGACAGCCCCCGCAGAGGATGAGTGGATCGGATGCGACCTGGCCAAGACCGAGAAGCCTGGTCTGACAGAACTCTTGGAGGGTCCCCGAGAGTATCCAAGGGCCGCTTTTAATTCCTCGGATGGCTCAGGCTGAAAATAAAGCCATTAGGAAAGGTGTCGGCTGCTCTCAGACCCCAGGCTGAACTCCAGAGGGAGAATGCTGGGGAAGCAGGATTCAGTTACCCGGCAACCAGTCTGCATCCACCAATGCTGGCACAGTGACAGCAAAACAGCCAATCAGGTTCTGCTCCCTGGAGAGCTCTCCTGAGGGGTCCAGGTGACCCAGTGTTACGGCTCTCTAGGTGTCAGCAGGGCACGTCACACTACCTGTTTGGTCCTCCTCCGTCTACAAGAGGAATGCCCTTAAACTAGCCCCAGGGAAGGAGACTTCGGCCAGGTTCCTTTCTTTGGCTCAGTAATCCCCAGACATAAGCACTTGGGGACAGACGGTTGGAAGCTGGGGCAGGTGGAGCCCTCTCTGCCCTGTGAGACCCCCGCCCTCCTTGTCCCCACTCCTCCCGCAGCTCCTCTCTGGAACGGTCAGAGTGGCACCAGCAGCGAAGCCGTGGAGGGGGCATGGCCAGGGCGCTCAGTCTCCTGTCCGCCTGCCTACCTCCCCGAACTTAATGCCAACTCTGACCCCGTGGGCAGAGGACCTCACCACACCTTCCACCCCACGCCCTCCAGGGCCCCTGTGCAGGGAGGACCAGGCCCACCTGTGCTCTCTATGTAGTAGTGGGTGATGCCCTTCCAGTGCTCCACGAAGGCCTGCAGCAGGTCAATGTCGGGCTCGCGCTGCGGGCAGAGAGGGGAGCGGCTGCCATGGTGCCCCGGAGCAGACATCCCGCGCCCGGGGCAGGCCGGCGCTCCTGGGTTTTCAAGGAGAAGAGGGACACATTTTCTCCAGGACACATCGGCGCTGGCTCCATATCTTACCAAGGATGCCCCAGTCTCGGGCTGCCCTCCCTCCTGCCACATGGCCCGGTCCCGCAGTCCCTGTCCTGGAGGAGCTCGGAATGGATGGAGGCAGACCCAGGTCATTATGCTACAGCTAGGGGGGTCATAGAGGAGCACAGGGTACAACCCCCCAGAGGAAACACATCTGAAACGGTACAGATAGGAGACCCGGCAAGACAAAGCTTTTAGGCCCCTCCCAAACTGTCCATGGTCACGCCTGCCGTTCCAGCAAATGCGCAGCAGCGCATGAAATTAAGGGAGTGCCTTGGGGCCAGCAGAAGTGTGGTGAAGACACTGGACTCCCACATGGCTAACTGTGGTTCAAGTCCCAGATCCAGCAGCTTGAAAATCAAGCTGGGCACATGTGCATGCGTGCCCAAACTCCTGAGGAGAGTGGAGGGACTGCAGCATGGCCATCCCCCCGGGGAGGTGGCTTCCCTCTCTCTGTCTCTCTCCTGTAGTGCACACATCCTATGGCAACAAATAAATAAATAAATAAACAAAAACAAAACTTAAAAAAAAAAAAAAGGGACCAGCGGGGGGCATAATGGTCACATTTCAAAAAGGGACCAGCAGGTGGCATAATGGTTACATTGCTAGACTCTCAAGTAGCTGACCACAGCTTAAGTCCCAGACCCAATGGCTTAAACTCATACTGGGGACATGTGTGTTCATGCCCGAAGTCCCTAAGGGAGAATGGAGGAGAAGGGATTGTAGCATGGCCATCCCCACAGGGTGTGATTTTTCGCTTTCTATCTCTCTGGCTAATGTATGTGCCCTATATCCACAAAAAAAAAAAAAAAACTCTCTTAAAAAAGAAACTAGAAGAAAGTGCATCAGCCCTAGGGAATCCTGACTGCTGAGCACCCCACCCCTGCTCGGGAATGCTCCCTCTGTGTCCAGGTTGACACTGGCCTTGAACTGCTAACAACCACCTTCTCTGAAAACTTCTCCAGAAAAGGCCAGCCCGCCCCGTTCTTGCAGAATAAAAACACGTGACGGATACCCCTACCCACAGGCGCTCACACCTCCCCTCGGTCTTTGCTCCAGCCCCGACGTTCAGCGTTCGTCGTTCATCGGGTTCTTGCGAGCCCCACTGAGGTGCAGCTGAGAACCGCTGAGAACCACACGCACCACTCTCTAAAGGAGCTGGGCCCTACTCGTTGCATCATGCGTTTAGGAGACACCCGTGTGCCTAGCATGTGCAGGACGCGTGGCTGGGAGCTCTGAGCAGCACGAGGAGGACCGAGACTCTGTCCCCTGGAGATGTGTGGCCGGGGAAGAGGACACCAGAGCACGTGGGGTAATGAAACTCCAGGGAGGTAGCAGGAGGCCACAGGGGAGGTGGAAAGCGACCTCTCAAAGAAGGGTCACTTCTAACAGGCTGGGACCAGGAAGGCTGTACTGAGGTCACGCCTGAACGGAAACGCATAGAACTGGGTCAGATTTCAGCAATGGGGAGGAGAGCCATTCCCTGGAGAAGGGACCCTGCAGCATGTCGGAGAAGCATGGGATGGTGGGACCGCTTATGCCAGGCCAGGGAGTCCGGATGTGTTCTTGCAGGCAGCAAGGGGCAGCACATGGTGACACTTTCCAATGACACCTTCGGACAGCACTGGAGGACTGATCTGGAGAGGGTCGCTGGCGTAGGAGAGCAGGAAGAGCAGAAGAACGCTCACGCGAGCGGGAGGAGCGCAGGTAGCCCTGCCTCAGAGAACTTGAAACACGCCCTCTCTTGCCGGCCTGCAATCCGTCTGCTTTCCACTTAACGGAAGTCCCAGGCCCTCTCAGATGGTCCATCCAGATGGAGTGATGGCATGTTAGCACACTCTGGTGATAGGTCACTGCTGGCTCGACAGCCACCTCCTCTGCTGGACTGTGACACCCCGAAGCTGAGCTGTGTTGAGTATCTCTGCCATCCCAAAGGGTCTGCACACAGGCAGCACCCCGAAACATTCGCCAAAGGTCTCAGCAAGCATCTGAACACGCCCCTCCTGTGCTCCTTGTCTTGGAAAGCCATGACCCCTGACCAGCACTACAATTCCCTGGCTTTCTGTGGTGGGGTTTCAACTTAGCCTCCACATTCATGTATGAGCCTCCCAAAAGTTCATGGAAAATGCATATTATGAAAAAACTATGTGTGGATTTCAAAAACACTGTTTGCACCAAAATAAACTTGTACTGTAATTCCTGTTTTCCACAAACTTTTTGAAGGCTCTTCGGCTAATCTCCAAAATCCTTGAGCTGAACTTGAATCAAATGAAAACTCAGTCAAAGGAAGAACAGGGACACAGGCAAGGGTGGGCTGGGCAGCAGGCTGGCGTCAAAGGGGGCAGTGCCAGATCCCTCCCGAATCTCAGAATCTCACTGGCTCCTGAGACAGCACAGAGACCGGGCCTGGCTCCAGGTTCCTCTGTGATCATACGGGGCCAGCCACACTTCCTGGGCGTGTCCTCCCCTGCACTCTCCTGCCTTCCCCTCCACTCCCCTGCTCTCCCCTCCACTCCTCTCCTCTCCTTGCTCTTCCAGCCAGAGGCCTGAGCATCCTGAACGCGGAGTGGAGAAATGGACTCTCCAGGATTCCAGAACTGTCTGGCCTGCCACCCCTCCACCCTCCTTGTGAACGCTTCCCCAGAAGTATGAATTAGTTTATCAGATCGCTTTCGGAGATGACAGTTCTCACTGGGGACAGGGAGGAGGGGGAGGAAGAACACTTTGGAACCTTTCCCTCCTAGGGAAGCCCCAAGGCCCTGGACGTGGGGGAGGGCAGGAGGAGTTGGCCAACCTCTCTCATTCACAGTGAGCCCTGACTGCCCGCTGGGTGTTGAGGGGGTGAACCCCAAGGCTGTTCTTGAGAAAAGTCCATTCATTAAACTCAGTGGGCGAGGGCTGAGCCCAGCACACACAGGGGAGCTCCCGGCCATGCCAACTGCACTTTTATCTGGCCCCTGAACTCTGACGCTGCGGCAGACCAGCCCCGACAGAACATGCCTGATGCCAAAGCCACAAACTGATGGAATGTGACACGTCCGTGTACTCGGAGGGACACACACAGGCATGTACACATGTCCACGCGGGCCCCACCCCGGTGGCGGTGCAGGACATATGCTGGGAGGGGTCTCCGTTCCTGTAAGGCGCCTCCCCACCCCTCACAGCGGGCCTTCACCCCTCCCGGGAACGTGCTCGGTCCAGGCCGGCTGCCCACGTCCAAGAGAGTTGGCCCCCCGGCCCCAGCCAGGCCTGGAGTCGCCTGGGAGCTCAGAACCAGGGGAAGGGGCAGCTCGGCTTCAAGCCCAGGTGACGCGGAGGGAGGAGCAAGGGGCTAGGGAGGGACTTCGGGGAGGTGGCAGGAACTACTGGGTGAAGGGCAGAGCGGCGGCCAGGGGAGGCTCGGAGCTCCTGCAGGAAACAGAAGCAGGAAGCGATCTGGGAAGCGGGGCCAGGGAAGCGGGCAGGATCTAGCA